AGATCCAAACAAATTCCTTCTATGATACATGTATGGTCTTGGTAGCTAAACCCAGAGAAAAACAAAACAGAGAAAACTATATGCCAACATCCTCAAAGATTTTAATGTAAAAATGTTAAAGTATTAACAGCAAAGAGGCTACTGCAACATATCAAAAACATTATAAGCTATGACCAGGTGGGATTTATAACAGTAACAAATCATTAGTTCTACATCAGGAAAACTATCAACAAAACAGATAGCATAACAAGAACAATGAAAATTACAGAAGTATATCAACAGATACAGAAAAGGCTTTTGACAAAATACAACATCTAGTTCTGATTAAAAAAAACCCCACTCCAAAGCATATAAATAAAGGGCCTTTCTTTAAATTGCATCTATCCAAAACCAAGACCCAGCGTCATATGTAATGAGGATAAACTAGAGGCCTTTCCAATAAGATCAGGGCTAAATAACGCAAAGAATGTCTATTATCACCATTACTGTTTGATATAGTGCTAGAAATTCTAGGTATAGCAATAAAACAAGAAAAAGAAATTGAAGGAATAAGCACAGGCAAGAAGGAAAGAAAACTACTGCTCTGCGCATATGATACGGTAGTTTATTAAGAAAGCCCCAGAGAGTAAACTAAAAAAATGGAAATAATTAGTACTTCCAGTAAGGCTGCAGGATGTAAAATAAATCCACATTAATCATCAACATTTCTTTAAATTACCAACAAAAAACACCAGCAGTAAGCGACAGAAAGAGAAATTCCATTCAAAATAAGGTAAAGGAAGGGAGGGCATTTATATGAAGTGTCTAGTACGTGCCAGGCACTGTGCTAAACACCTCACAACTATGATTCCATTTGACATCACAACCACCTTGTAAGGTAGATGCCATTTTATAGATGAGGAATACAAGGTAGATATTACATGACTTGCCCAGGGTCACACAAGCTACCACATGTCTGATGTTGGATTTGAACTCAAGTCTTCCTGGTTCCGGACCCATTGCTCTATCCACTGAACCACCTAGCTGTCTCAGGAAGTACAGAATGCCTAAAAAACTTGAGTCTACCTACAAAGACGCATATATAGGAACTCTATGACTACCACTAGAAAACATTCTTAAAAAAATAAAGAACTGTAAAAACATTTATTGTGTTGGCATGCTGGGACGTTATGAGTTCTGATTTGGATGTGTAGGTCTGGACCTCTGTAGAGAGACTGGGGTTACAGAAATAGATTTGCAATTTATTTCTTTAGACATGACACTTGGGGAATAGCATGGCAGAATAAAAAGGGTACTGGCTTTGGATTCAAAAGACCTGGGTTCAAATCTCACCTCTGATACTTACGATCTATGTGTCCTTAAACCTGTCTAGATGTCAGTTTCTTCGCCTGCAAAACGAAGATGATGGACTAGATGCCCTTTAAAGTCACTTCCAGCTCTAGCTCTATGATCCTATGTGTGACCTTGGATGCTAATATCTCCTCCCAGGGCCTCAGTGCCTTCCTTTTGTATTATGAGGGGAAGAGGGGGTAGGACTAGGTCCAACCTTCTACATCCTTGGGTGTGGCAGCCTTTTGACTGAGTTCAAGTTTTCCAGAACAAATCCTTTTATTAAGGGGATTTGTTCTGAGAAGTTGGATTCAGTCAAAGGGTCACACTTGAGGACCTAGAGGTTCACGTGTGGCCTCGAGGCGGCAGGTTCTCCACCCTTGGCATAGATCATCTCTAAAGTCTCTTATCACGTCCATCATAAAATTACCATCCCCTTTCCGCTCCCTTCTGAAAGACTATTTACTCATCTCCCCAGTTATAGGAATGACTCCCCTCATTAGCTGTAACCAGATATATTTTAACTTGTCTTCTAACAAGATTTAAAATGATAAAGAGCATCATTTAATGATCTTTATTTAAGATATTGATCCTAAAAGAACATTAAACCTAGGTTTTATTTTCTAAATTCTAGATCAATTAAATCCAATCAAATAAACATTTAGTAACAGCCTGAAATGTGCCAGGCCCTTTTTATGGGGATACAAAGATGAAATATTATACAGTCCATGCACATTCTACTGGGAGCAGAGGTATGATGTCTACACAGATAACTGTAATAAAAAGTAGACAGTGATCAGTAGAAAGATACTGTCCAAGTGCTCTGTGAAAAACTGAGCAGAGAAAGAACATTTTTAGCTGGGAGGGATCAGGGAAGGTTACACAGGCAAACTTTGAAGAACTAGAAGGAATCTGAAAAGCAGAGATAAGAAAGGTCCATGTTTTGGAAGAGAAGATACCTGAAGCCGCAGGAGCTGAACTGGTCATCAAGAGAATGAATGTGGAGAGAGAAAAGAAGAGGCCCTACGGCAGAACAGGGCCTAGATCAAGCTGCCTTTTCCTACATGGTTTTCTTGACTTCCAGAAAGTCACCAATTTCACTGTCTTCATTGCTTTTCTTTTTGCCTTCTGAAAGAGCCTCTTGGGTACCACTGAGAGAGTACTGGGGGAAGGGGAGGCAAGACGGCAGAATAATAGGAAGAAGTACAGCAAATGCTGCCCTCAAAATTCCTTCTAACAGATCTAGAAAATGCACCAGACCAAAGCCTGACAGGAAAATTCAAGAAAAAGTCAGAATGACTGGGGTATTTGTCCCACCTAGGTTATCAACACAGGGAGACAGAGGGATCCTTTATCACTGAGGCCAGAGTCTGACCAGGAGTGTGATATGAGGCACTCCAGCCCCAAAAGTGACTGGGCAACAGGCCTAAGGGGTGGGTCCAGACCCATATTGGGGCACCATGAGCAGAGCATGGGAACAGGTGTCAACTGGTAGCTTTGTCCCCCACTCTGCAGGTCTAGGTCACAGATCCAGGGCAGACTGAGAAGGGAACCTGCCCCAAGGGTGGTGTTCCAGCATAAGAAGCAGTCACAGAAGCAAGCAGCAGTGGGGTGGCTTGGACCCCAGGAGTGGAGTGGAATCTCAGTTCCAGCCTCCAGCCTGGGCTGAAGCCTGCAGAGGAATAATGCAGGCAGGGATCCCAGACCAAGGGGAAAGAAACCTCAAGTTCTGGCCCTCTGAACCAGCAGAGCTCCCCAGCTGGTGTAATGCTGGTGAAAAGGTGAGTTCAGAAGCAGTTTACTATTGCTCAGACTGAACAGAGAACAAGAATTTGCAGAGTTCAGACCATAAGGGCAACAATCAGACCACTGTGAGAGCACTGGAAACTTGTAAGTCCTCAGCCTGTCCCGAGATCCTAGAATAACACAGCACTCAATAGCCCAAGAAAGCAGGAATAGGACCAACCCAGACCTTCCCGTCAGAAGTACACAGAGCATAGCCCTCAAAGCTCATCAGGAAGTATGATGGGAAGAATAAACAAACAAAAAAAGAATCCCACCATATCAGGCTATTATGGTTATAGGGATGCTCAAGACCCAAATGCAGAAGAAGGTGACTCCAAAACATCTAGAAGCAAAGCCTCAAATAAAAACACAGCTTGGGCACAAATTTAACTGGAAATCCTAGAAGAGATGAAAGAAGAATTTAAAACGTTTTCATAAATGAAATGAGAGCATTTAACGAAAGAATTGGAAGCACTGAAAATCAGAATGAACCAGACAGAAGCCAATGATGCCATGAGGCAACAAAAAATATTAAAACAAAGTAAAAAAAAACTGAAAAAGCAGAAGACAAGTATAAGGTATCTTCAAGCAAAAACAACTCACCTGGAAAACAAACTGGAAAAAAAATTAAAAATCATTAGACTACCTGAACACCACGACCAAAACAAGAGCCCCTAGACAGCTTATTTCAAAAAAAATCTTAAAACTGCCCACATTGCTTAGAACCAGAGTAGACATAGAAAAAATCCTCCTGAAAGAAAGCACTAAATGAAAACTTCTAGGAACATCCTAATCAGGTCACAGCTATGATGTCATGAGCTTCCAAGTCTAAGGAAAAATACTTCAAGCAGTTGGAAATTGAGAATCTAATTATCAAGAGACCACAGAAGGAATCACACACGATTTAGCATCCACCACTATAAAGGAGGAGAAGAACTTGGAATGCAATCTTCCAGAAGGCAAAGATATAAGCTTTTAGCCAAGAAAACGGAATATAGTCCAACAGGGGAAAAAAAATGAAACTCTCATGAAATAGAGGATTTCCAAGCATTCCTGATGAAAAGACCAGAGCTGTGCAGAACTCTGAAATTCAAACAGAGGAGTTACGACAAACATAAAAAGGGAAACATGAATGAACAATCATAAGGGCCTAAACAAAGATACACTACTTATATTCAAATATGGGGACCTCTGAGACCTATCCTCATCAGGAGTCACAGAGGAAGTCTAATTAGACAGAAGGACCAGAGGTGATTGTGTTTTGTCATTTTAAAATTTTTTTCAAAATTAATTTATTTTTAATTTATGGGATAAAACGAGCATTTTCCTAACAGTTTAATTAAAAAAAAGATGATTGCACACGAAACTATAAATCTATTCTTTACAATTTGCTATTCCTTTTAAATATGTAATAAAGTTATCATGTAAATTTCCGTCCACCCCCCCCCCATCATGTCTTAATGGTATTAAGGGAAAGAAAATTCAGAGGAAGAGGAATACACTGTGAGGGGAAGGAAAATAATCAGGGTGTGCAAGGACACATCTACATAAGCAAGGAGGAAGGGATGGGAGGAGCAGCTGATCACTGAACCTAGCTGCCACATGAACTAGTTTTAAGTCACAGTCACACACACAGTCAGTCTCAGTCTCTCTCCCCACCCCCAATACAGAAATACATTTCACTCAACACATATTTTTCTTTTCTTTGGACACGGTAAATGCAGAAACCTGATTTGCTTAACTATACATGTTTAACAGAGGTTTTGGTCTTTTTCATTTTCAATTAGGGGAAGGGGGGGAGAGTTGAGGTGAAGTTTTGCTGATTTAAAAAAAAAAAAAGAGCCCACGATCTAGAGTCAGAGGACTGTGGCTAAATAAAATCTTACCTTTAGCCCTTACCACCTGTGTGCCATTCAACAACTGTCTTCAACTTCTGTGGTTTTGCATTTTCCTCATCTGTAAAATGAAGGTTGGACTAGATGGCTCTTAGGGTCCCTTTGAGCTTTATGCCTCCTCCCCCTTTGCCTTGACATATACTACCAGTCAGTTCAACATAACACATGGGTATTGGGTATGCAACAGCCTTTATTTCACCAAACTCAGGAAAATTTCTAGGATGCAAAATATAAAGAGGAGCCCACAGACAAAAACAGAACTATAAAGCCAAGTCAAGATGTTAATAAGCATTTAGGAAGTGCCTAACGTGCCAGTCACTGTGCTAAGCACAGAGGATACAAAGAAATACAAACAGCAGTCCCTGTTCTAAGGCATTCACCACCTAATGGGGCAGACAACACTCAAACAACTATGTACAAACTAGATATATACACTCAATAGAGGGAAGGCACTAGCAGTAAGGCTGAATTGGGAAAGGCTTTTTGCAAAAAGTTACTGGGACTTGAAGGAAGCTAGGGGAATGGGAGAGAGAAAGTTCCAGGCCTGGGGAAGCCAGAAAAAATACCTGGAGTTAGAGAATAAAAAGTCTCTATTAAAGAAAAATCAAGGAACCAGTGTCACTACATTGCAGAGAATGTAGAAGGAATAAGGTATATAAGAAGACTAGAGAGACAGGAAACGGCCAGGTTATAACAAGTTTTAAGAGCTGGAGAGGTTCTGGTAGCAGCCACTGACCAGGAAAAATCAGTGGGTGGGTGTGTGGGTCCTTCAGCAGCAAGGAGCTGGCTTCTGAGCTATGTGTAAGTAAGGACCCACCCATCAGGGCCCACCCAGCACTTTCTCCTGCCTCCCACGTGCTGGGGTGCTGCCATTTCCTACTCTGGAGCCTACAGAAGTGATGGACAGGCCCCTCAACCAGGCTATCAGCAGAGAAACAGATCGGTTATTAACACAGGGAAACACGAAGAGGCTGTCACGAAAAGGCAGCCACGTATGTTTCTGAAGCCATGAAGTTGATACAATCTGAGTAGGCTCAATTATCACTGGAATTCCAAAAGGATAGCTATATGAAACTTATCTAAGAGAGGCAGAAAAGGGCAAAGCAAGAAGAAAGGTGAAAAGCCCAGCAGAATCCTCCTCACCAGCTGACAACTTCAGAAGGTGGGTCAGATGGTCAAAGTGTGCCTGTGTCTCAGAAGTTTGGTTTTGCCCTCAAGAAGCCCTTGCCAGAAATGCCAAGATTCTTTGACAAGGACTCAGACACTCCATTTTTTCTCCTTCAGAAGAGCAAAGAGCCAAAAGAACCATTTCCTGGAGGCAAAGCCCCCAAAGACAACAAAACAATAATAGGAAGCAGGTGATCAAGATTTCGATCAGAAGCAACAGGCAGAGCTTCTTGTGGCCGACGCTGAAAGGTTAAAGAGAGAAAATTTAAGCAAGTCAAAGCTGAAAAGACCAAACCCCTGAAAAACTCCACTAGAGAAGCAATTTGACATAGATGTTGACTTTCAAAAAAAGTATGAATGATGGAGCCTGCTGCCACCTTCAGAGACTGCTCCAACCTCCTAAACCTGACAGAAGTTTGCAGTAAATAAGGGAAAGCCAAGGACATTCTCCAACCTTTTCCCTTTGGCCTTGCTATCCCCAGAGCTTGCTCTTCTGGAGCTTCCCAAGGATATTCTGAAGCATTTCTGAATAATTAAATGGAGGTCATAAGAGGTTAAAAGGTGGTAAAGGAGAGGAAGTTATAAAATTAGTACAGGAAAAAGGGAAAACCAGGAAGCTAGGGATGGTCTTGGTGGAGTATCACCTGATGGATACTGTTGGAGAAGAGGCATGGTGGTGGCTTAGAGGACTTGAAGGAAGCTAGGGAATGGGGCGGGGGGGGGGGGGGGGGGAAAGAAAGAGTTCCAGACCTGCGGGAGTCAAAAAAAAAGGAATGTCTTATTAAAGAAACAGCAAGGAATCCAGTGTCACTAGATTGCAGAGAATTCCTAGTGAGTAATTGACCAGAGCTGAGGATGTTGGAGGTGTCAAATGCTAACCACCTGGAGGGTCTGTTTCTCTTGATTCAAACCAAATGGTAAGTGGGAATAATTGTTTCAAGCAGCAGTTATTTTTCCTTTTCCTAACTTCAAGATTATGTTATTTAATTAATTTGTAATGCCATAAAGAATAATGCAAAATCTAATTACTACAGGAGCCCAAGGGTGGATTTGTATGATGTACTGACTGCATGCATTTTGTTATGCACAATTTATTAATTCAAATAAGGCATACCAGTTACAAGCCTTTTAAGATGAGCCTATATGTGTAACACCTTGCACTACTCCTAACATGGTGATAATCTCAGGATTATTAGGAGAAATGTTCAAATTTCTGCTTTAATAAGGAAGGAACCAGATTATCATGCATGGAAGTAATGCAAGTTGGCAGTATTTGATTGCAACAAATCAATAAAATAGTTTATTATTAAAAGGCCAGAGGATTTTATATTTGATTTTGGAGGTATATGGGAGCTAGTGGAATTTACTGAATAAGGGAGTGATATGGTCAGACCTGTACTCAAGAAGATCACTTTGACAGTAGGGTGGAGGATGGACTGGAGTGGGGAGAAACTTGAGGCAAAGAAATCAATCAGCAGGCTACTAAAATAATCCAGGTATGAGCTAATAAGGGCGTAAACCAGGGTAGTGACACAATCAGAAAGAAGAGAGCATATAAAAGGTGTTATGAAGACAGAAATGACAGGACTTAGCAATAGATTAGATGGGGTGTGAGAAAGCTTCAACGGTGACACCCAGGTTGCAAGTCTGGGTGACTGAAGAATGGGGGCGGTGTCTCAACAGCAAAAGGGAAGTTAGGAAGAGGGGAGGTTTTGAATAGAAAGACGATGAGCAGAGTTTTGGACTTGAGTTTTAGATGTCCAGTAGGTAGAGAAGCAAAACTGGGGATGAAGTGAGAGGTTAGGGCTAGATAAATACATCTGAAAACCACCAGCAGAGAGAAGATAATTGAACCCATGGAAGTTGAAGAGATCATCAAGTGAAACTGTATAGAGGGAGAAGAGAAAAGGGCCCAGGACAGAACACTTGGGGATACCCACAGTTAGCCAATGCAGATGGGGCAAAGGAGACTGAAGAGACAGGTAGGAAGAGAACCAGGAGATAGAAGTGTCACAGAAACCTAGAGAGAAAAGAGTGTCACTGAGAAAAAGGTGATGGATGAAGACCATTAGACTTGGCTATTAAGGAAGTGAAGGGCAAAGGGGGGAGAAATAAGTATTCATACAGCACCTACTATCATGTAGCAGAAATTGTGCTAAGCACTTTACAAATATCTCATTTGATTCTCAGAACAACCTGGTGAGTTAGGTGGTGTTGATATCCCCATTTTACAGTAGAAAAACTGAGGCAGAGGTTAAGTTACTTGCCCAAGGTTATGCAACTAGTAAGGGTCTGAGGCCAGATTTAAAATCTGATCTTCCTGACTCCAGGCCCAGGGCTCTATCCACTTTGTCTCCTAGTTACCGATCTATTAAGAGATCATCGGTAACTTTAATGAAAGAAGTTTCACTTGAATGATGAGACTGAACACTAGACTGCAGAGTTAGGAAGAGAACGAGAGGAAGGAAAGGAAGCAATAATTGTAGATCAAATTCTCAATATGTCTAACCACAGAAAGGAGGCAAGACGACTAGTGGGGATAGGTCTATCAAGTAAAGGTTTGGGGGTTTTTTTAGGCACTATTTTTCTTTTTTTAACACAAGAAAAAAATTTTAACTTTTTTCAGGTTTTCTACATGTAAGTATAAGACCCTTTTAATAAGAGATGAGCACCCCCCTCCCCCATAGCAGTCTCTGCCCACACTTAACCCCTTATGGAAAGAGGTTCAGTTGGAGGTAGCAATGCCGCCATTTTCTGGAGGCTCTAGACTCAGCAGAAGGCAGGGCATCTACAGAGGACAAGCAGCTTGTCCTTTCTGAGCAGTGTCCTGGGAGCTCAGGGCCACTGTGAGAAGTAAAGGTTTTTTGAGGATGGCTGAGATATGGGCATTTTTGTAGGCAGCAGAGAGAAGTAGACAGGAAGAGATTGAAGGTTATCAAGGGAGTAGGGATGATAGATGGGGCACCCTGCTGGAGAAGACAGGATATGGAATGGGATCACTCGTGAATACAGAGGGTTTTGTCTTGACGAGAAAGACCACATCTTCATTTGAGACGGGTGAAGGAGTAGATTGTTACCAAAGGCATCTGAGTGATGTAGGAAGAGGATGAGATAGGAAGGAGCAAATGGGATGCAATCTTTTCAGTGAGATATAAGGCAAGGTTCACTTCGGAGAGAGGGGGTGAATACAGACGATCAGACTCCTCCTAGAAAGTAAAGACATTGTCCTAGCTTCCTTCTCTCACTGGATCTACACTTTCCAAGTAACTCACAGAAAAAGCAAAGCAAGACAAGGCCAGGAGAACTCCTAGCTCTTCCTCCATGCTAAGTGCTTGGAAATACAAACATAAATAACAAAACAAGACAGTCCCTACCCTCAAGGTACAAAGGAGTTGGGAGAGTGAGGAGAGCAAGCTGAGGTAGTCCCGGAGACTCTGAAGCACAGCCAGGAGGAGACAAGCAGGGTTGGCAAGGTTCAGATTTACACAAAAGTAAACCAAAGAGTAAAAGTAGGTAACTAGCTTAATTAATCATGAGGCACCTTTTCCAAATTTATTTCCTGAATCCCCTGCCTGCAGTGGACTTTTTAAACAAATCTTCCTTCCCCTTTAGCCCTCCCCGTCCAATCAGTTGCCAGGGCTTATTCTACCTCCAAAACATCTCTCCCAACAGACCCCTTTCTTGATCCTAACAGACACCCCACCCTAGTTCATCATCATCATCATCCCTTCTCAACGCCAAACTATTGCAATCATCTCCTAAATGGTCTATACTGCCAGTCTGTATTTTCCTGAATCCATGCTGCACACCTCTGCAAAATCATACTCCTAAAATAAAGGTCTAAGCATGACACTCCCCTTCTCAAGTCTTTGGTGACCTCCTATGGCAATCCCCTCAGTCTGATATATGTAAGAGCCTATTGGGCAAATTACTAGAATATACTGTCTTCCCCTGCTCTTCACGTTCCTTCTCTTCCTCAGAGGCTCACCTCCCCCAGTGCAACCTTCCCTGAACCTTCCCAGCTGAAAATGTTTTCTTCTTCCTCAGTTTTCCTGGAGTCCTTGGACAAGATCATTCTCCTCTGCTCCCATCATTCCCCACCTGATATCACTTTGGTCCCCATAAATGACCTACCCCTTCAGCCCAGAGGCACACAACCTCCTTGAGGTGTCACTGCTGATCTTCCTGTACCCAGCACCAAGCACAGCATCTGGGACCTAGGAGACGCTCAAAGTTTTGTTCACTTGAGTTGCACTGCATACATCTGTGATACAGGAAAAAACACAGAGACACGGTCTGAAAGGCATTTCAGTTGCAGTACCGCAGATATTTACCAGAGCGCTTTCAGGAACTTGAAACACAGGTAGGTTGGGACAAGAAACTTGCAGGAAGACCTGGGCGCCTCCTTTCAGACGCACGCCTGAGCGCGCAGAGGAATAAACAGAAATGGAAGCAGGCGCGCGGCGTCTGCGTCACCAGCGCGCCCGCGGCGCAGCCGTGACGTCACCAGCGCGCCGGCCCAACCTCAGCAGCGGCCCGGCGAAGGGGGAGGGGGAGAGGCGCGCGCAGGGAGGGGTGCAGGACGGCGAAATTTTCCGGAAGCCGCCGATCTAGTAATTTTGAGATTTGGGGGCAAAATCGAGCGGTTTTGAGGGCGAAGCCTCGATCCGCGGGCCCGGGGCTGGTCGGGGGCAATATGGAGGAGGGGTGGACTCGGACCGATCTCGGAGTCCTAATGTCCGGTTTAGTAAATACTGACTCGAGGTGTATTTGGCCTTGACCTTCCTCTCTGGGGGCGGCGGGGCACAGCGGGAAGAGGACTAGGTGCCAGGAAGGCCTGGGTTCAAGCCCTTCCTCCCACACAGAATGGCCAAGTCATTTAACCTTTTCAGTGCTCCGGCTTACTTTTAAACCAGGGGCTCACAACCTTTTCTGTGTCTGGCAGGAGAGTGAAGCCTATGGCCTCCTTTCGCAGAATGTTTTTAAATACAAAGGATTACAAAACACAGAATAAAATACACAGGATTACATAGGAGGCCAATTATATTGGAAAATAATCGTCACAGTATTTTTTAAAAGGCAAGTTCATGTATACCAGGTTAAGAAACCTTGATCTAAGAAGATACTGACCTGCATTGGCAGAAGCTTACCCACCTCTTTGAAATCACAGGTCCGGTTCCTGGGTTTTCTTGTCAGTGGTGGCTTGAAGTGCTGCAAACCACAGTTAGATATTTGGTGATCAGCTCATTGTAAATAAGAGTTTTCAGTTTTCATAAGTGGGGGAAAAAACCAGTAATAACCACTGGAAGAAAAGACTGGACAAAAGATCCTAATGAGGAATGGTGATGGGGGGGAGGGGGAGTTGTAGGGTCCTTCAAACCAAAGATTCTAAAAACAAAAGGCAGCAAGCCAGAACGATTATTTATATTCATCTTCAAAATGAATTTTCCTTTAAATATCTGGCAAAAAACAAAAAAGGGAAGTGAAAATAGTGATTTTCTGAAGAGTAAGGCAACTGAGACTAGGGATTCTTAATCTGAGATTATACACCATTGGATCTATGGACAGATCTAAGGGGGCCAGTGATCTTAATTTTTAATATTTTGACAATAATTCCCTTTTTGAAAAATTAAATACCAGAAGTTCATTTAAAAAGATAATGTGGAAAATGTGAACATATAAAGTTTCTGAAAGCTATGGCTCAGTAGCAGTGTTTGAAGGGGAGAAAAACCATTTCCTTTCCTTAGTTAGCCAAGTGTCATTTTACCATCAGCACAAAAGTAAAAAGTTCTGTTACACCTACATAGTCAATTTATGAAATAGATCTACCTTCGGTCTGTTCCACAAAGTACCTCATTTAACGAGGTAGTTGTTGACAGTCAAGAAGTTAATTGAAATTAAATTTATCCAGCAAAGAAAGCAAAGATGACCCTCCCAAAAGGTCTTACAAAAATGTAAGAATCAATACCTTCCTAGAATCCAAATTTAGAGCCACTAGCTTTCTCTTCCAACGTTACCAGGAGGATGTGAAGGATAGGCCAAGGAACCTGAGCTCACTATAGATAGCAAGTGTTGATTTTTCTTTAGGGAGGTGACCTCTCCATCCCACTTATTTTTAAAACCAGGAACCATTAGCAGTTTTTACATATACTTGGACATGAGTTTGATGGTAATAATGGTACTAAAATTTTTACTATCAGACTGCAGGAAAAGAGTCATGATTATAGTTAAGACTTCTCTACATATATATAAACAACCTCGTACTGATGTGATATTGACATTCTGAATGTTTTTGAAAATAAGTTTTTATTACTGTATTTTTTAAAAAATTATTTTAAGCATTCTTTTCTTTTTAAATTTGAATTTCAAATTCTTTCTCTCTCCCTTCTTTCTACTCCATCCCCTACCCACTGAGAAGGCAGGCAATATAATATCTATTACACGTGAATCATGCAAAACATTTCCTTAGCCATACTGAAAAAAAAAGCAAGAAAAATAAAGAGAGAAAATTATACTTCAATCTGCACTCAGCGAGTTCATCAGTTCTCTCTCTGGAGGTGAAGCATTTTTTCATCATGAGTCCTTTGAAATTATCTGGGATCAGTGTATTGATCAGAGTAGCCAAGTCTTTCCCAGTTGGTTATCATTACAACATTACTGTTACTGTGCACAGTGATCTCCTGGTCCCCTCACTTCACTTTCTATCAGTTCATATAGGTCTTGCCATGTTTTTCTGAAACCATCCTCCTTGTCAGTTCTTATTAATATAATAATATTCCATCACAGTATTATGCCACAACTTGTTCAGCCATTCCCTAATTGATGGGCATCCCCTCAATTTCCAATTCTTTGCCACCACAGAAAGAGAAGCTATAAATATTTTGTACATATAGGTCCTTTTTCTTTGATCTCTGGGATACAGACCTTGTAGAGGTATTGCTAGGTCAAAGGGTAGTTCCAAATTGTTTTCCAGAATGATTGGAGTTTACTATTCTACCAACAATTCATTATTTTCCCTCATCCCCTCCAGCTTCTGTTATTTCTGATAGGTGTGAGGTGATACCTCAGAGTTGTTTTAAATTCCATTTTTCTAATCAATAGTGATTTAGAGCATTTTTTTCATATGACTATAGATAACTTTGATTTCTTCTTCTGAAAACTGCTTGTTGATATCCTTTGACCATTTATCAATTAGGAAAAGGCTTATTTTTATAAATTTAACTCTGTTCTATTCTCACTATATATTTGAGAAATAAGGCCTTTATCAGAGAAACTTGCTGTGAAAAATGTTATATTACTTCACTGTTTTTTTACATTACTACAGTTCTCCAATGTTTCTCTGTCTTCTCCCAGAGTCATCCCACGTAAAAGTATTCTTTAAAGATGAAAAAGGCATAACTGATCAATATCCAATACTCATGGAACTCCTACCTTTGTAAAGGGATAGGCTGGGAGTATCCTCTTGTATCTTTTCTCCTAAGTCATATTTGTTCTTTACAATCTTCACATTTAGAACTGACTGCTGCCTCGAAGCAACTTTCACTCTATAGTCCATTTGGGAGAGTAGGATCCATCCCAATCCTAGCTACTCCAGGTGTGAGAGTTGCGTATATAAGTTATAAGCTGGTTTTATGGTCTAGGAACAAGGGGAAGATAAAAGTTCTTAAGTGGTTAATAGATCATAGGAATTGATTTGGTAAAAAAAAAAAAAGTCATTCCTTCTCAGATCTTTAGTACAAACACTGGCTACCATCAGTCCAATGCTATCCACACTACAGGTGTCAAACTGAAGTGGAAATGGGGGGGGGCAGGCAGATGGACTTGGAAAACCACAATTTTGCATCATCTACATTGCATTTTTATTTATTTTGTTAAAAATTTCCCAATTACATGTTGATCTGGGGAGTTAGGCAGAGCCAGTTTGACACCTCTAATCTACAATGCAATCACATGGCACATTTATAATTAAACACCTGTGATTTTTGTAAACAAGGGAGGAAATACATTGGTAAAACCACCAGGACTTTTCTAATTTTCCCAAAATACATACCATATGCAAGCCCAGTTATTCCTTTGATCAAGGCCATGAAGAGGAAGAGATGAGCCAGCTATTACAATGTGTGCTCCTCTTTGTGTCCTTTTCTTCTTGAGTGCTTGCTTTCTCCCTTCGTAGTTTTTCTCATTCCTTCTTTCCCTGGGACTCATCCCAGAGTGAACATCACTACAATCTGCTTGAATTCAGAACATCCTCCATACTGGTGTTTCGGAACGGAGATTCTTCCAAATCAGTAGTCGGTGTAGTAGCAACTGAAACACCTTCTGTGGCATTGGCATTCTGGGCCACTAGGGTTGCTTCTCCTCTGCCACCACCTTGGGCTTCACCCTAATCTGCACCTGCTTCTCTATAAGAATGGCTTTGGCTCACACCTCATCTTCTTTTCTCTTTGATTTTCTTACCACAACCTGACAGTCTCCCTGCAGATATCAAGGAGGAATCTTCCAATACACTCGATTTCCTTTGGAATCTTATGTATTTTATCATATGCATTTAAATACATTCTGAGATGGGGCCTATTAGTTTCACCAGTCTCCTAACATGGTCTGTAACATCAATTAAGAACCCCAAATATAGAATGAAGTGGCTTCAGCCTAGCTCTGTCCTGGGCCATCTTCTCCCTCCCTTGGCATTCTCATCAGTTCTCAAGAGTTTATTTTCATACCTATAAAGACATATACCCACTAAATCTGGAGATCCAGCCTTAATCTCATTATGGGATCCTAGGTACAAAGAAAGACTAAAAACAAAACCAAAAAACCAGTCCCTGCTCTCTAGGAGCTCAGAGTCTAATGCAAGAAACAATATGCAAACAAGAGATAAGGAATTAACAAAGGAAAGGTCCTAGCACTAAGGGAGATTGGGAAAGCCTTCTTGTAGAAAGTGGGGTTTTAGCCGGGACTTGAAGAAAATCAGGGAAGCCAAGAGGTAGAAATGGGGAAGGAGAGCTTTCCAGGCATGGGAGACAGCCCATGAAAATGCCTGGAATCAGGAGATGGGAATATCTTGTGCAGAGAACAACAAAGAGTCCAACGTCACTGGACATTAGAATAAGGTGTAAAAAGACTGAAAAAGTAGGAGGCTAGGTTTTAGAGGGCTTTGAATGCCCTCCAATGACTGGAGGGGACAGGGAGCCACTGGAGTTTACTGAATAGAAGCATGATGTGGTCAGATCAGCACTTCAGAAAGATTCATTTTACAGCTAGGTGGAAGATGGATTGGGGTGGGGAGAAACTTGAATCAGGAAAACCAAGTAGCCAGCTATGGCAAGAATCTAGGTGTGAGGTGGCAAAGGCCTACACTAGGGTAGTGGTGAAGTCAGAGGAGAGAAGAAGGTGTAGGGGAGAGATGTTAAAGTAAAACAGGCTTTGTCAAGAGACTGGCTATGGAGGTTCAGCTTCTGGGAGCCAAGATGGCGGAGTAAGAAGTAAGTCACTCTCATCCTCCCTTATTAACCTCTGAAAGCCGAGAAACTACTGCCCTAGGAAAAACCCTGGAACAGCTGAACCAGAAGAAAGATGGGGTACAGCAGTCCAGTGCTCCAGGTAGCTTGAGGGATTAACAGGAAAGGACCCTCTTGCGCTGGGGGAAGGGGAGTAGTAAAGAATAGGAAGCATCCCACCAAGTTAGCAGAAAGCCCCAACTCAGCACACAAGGGGGAGATCCTGAAGCCCAGGTGGTGGAGCAGGCAAACACAAACACCAAGACCCCCAAGTGCCTCAGTAAGGGCAGGGGTACCAGTGGACCTGCTCAAAAAACCACCACATGCCTAGGTGTTCTATGGCAGCCAAGTCTCCCAGTGCCTCAGCAAAACTCTGGGAAGCACTCCAAGAGGGAAAGCCCCAGGCAAAGAAAACATCCCAAAGCAGCAAAACTTCCATCTGAAAGGAGCCTAACAAAGTGAAAGGAAGGAAAGGCTCAGGTGAGCAGGCAGCCCCCTGGGGCCAGACTCCCCACCCCTACCCCTAGAGTTCCAGTGTTGTTGATTCCAGCTCAACACCAGGTAAGCTGCCAGAACCCTACAGCCTCCAACCGCCAGCACTGGAGGCCCCAGCACACAAAGCCATCACCCAGGCCCTAGGCTCCCAACACAAGAAGTATCCATAGTTCTTTCTTTGGATGTGGACAGCATTTTCCATCACAAGGCCTTTGGAGATGTCTTAGATCCTTGCATTGCTGAGAAGGGTTAAGTCTATCAGTATTAGTCACTGCACAACGTGGCTGTTATTGGGTACAACATTCTCTTGGTTCTGTTCACTTCACTCAGCATCAGACCATACAAGTCTTTCCAGGTTTTTCTGAGGTCAGCCTGATCATCGTTTCTTACAGCACAATAGTATTCCATTACATTCATATACCACAACTTGCTCAGCCATTCCCCAATACATGGGCATCCTCTCAATTTCCAATTCTTAGCCACCACAAAAAGAGCTGCTATGAATATTTTTGTACATGTGGGTCCTTTTCCCATTTGTATGATCTCTTTGGGACACAACCCTAAAAAGTGGTATTGCTGGGTCAAAGGGTATGCACATTTTTATAGCCCTTTGGGCATAGTTCCAAATTGTTCTCCAAAATGGTTGAATCAGCTCACAACTCTCCCAACAATGCATTAGTGTTCCAATTTTCCCACATCTTCTCCAACATTTATCATTTTCCTGTTTTGTCATGTTGACCAATCTGATAGGTGTGATGTGGTACCTCAGAGTTGTTTTGATTTGCACTTCTCTAATCAGTAGTGATTTAGAGCATTTTTTCATATGACTATAGATGGCTTTAATTTCTTCATCTGAGAACTGCCTGTTCTTATCCTTTCGCCATTTATCAATTAGGGAATGGCTTGTAGTCTTATAAATTTGTCTTAATTCTCTATATATTTTAGAAATGAGGCCTTTATCAAAAGAGACTGGTTGTAAAATTTTCTTTGCCAATTTTCTACCTTCCTTCTAATCTTAGTTGCATTGGCTTTGTTTGTGCAAAAACTTTTCAATTTAATGTAATCAAAATTGTCCATTTTGCTTTTCATAATGTTCTCTATCTCCTGTTTGGTCATGAATTCTTCTGTTCTCCATAGATCTGATAGGTACACTATTCCTTGCTCTCCCACTTTGCTTACAGTATCAGCCTTTATAGCTAAATCATGAACCCATTTTGACTTTATTTTGGTATATGGTGTGAGATTTTGGTCTGTGTCTAGTTTCTGCCATACTCTTTTCCAGTTTTCCCAGTTTTTTTTTTCAAAGAGTAGGTTCTTATCCCAGAAGCTGGGGTCTTTGAATTTATCAAATAATAGATTACTATAGTCACTGACTACTGTGTCTTGCATATTTAACCCATCCCACTGATCCACTACTCTATTTCTTAGCCAGTACCAAGCAGTTTTGATGACTGCTGCTTCATAATACAATTTAAGATCTGGAAAAGCTAGGCCACCTTCCCCTGCATTTCTTTTCATTAGTTCCCTTGATATCCTGGACCTTTTGTTCTTCCAAATGAATCTTGTTATTTTTCTAACTCTATAAAATAATTTTTTGGTAGTTTGATTGGTATGGCACCGAATAAGTAAATTAACTTAGGTAGAATTGTCATTTTTATTGTATTAGCTCTGCCTACCCCTGAGCAACTGATGTTTTTCCACTTACTTAGATCTGATTTTATTTGTGTGAAAAGTGCTTTGTAATTGTGTTCATAGAGTTCCTGGGTTTGTTTCGGGAGGTAGACTCCTAAATATTTTATAATGTCTACAGTAAGTTTAAATGGGATTTCTCTTTCTATCTCTTGCTGTTGGGCTTTGTTGGTATATATAGAAATGCTGATGATTTATGTGGGTTTATTTTATAGCCTGCAACTTTGCTAAAGTTGTTTATTATTTCAAGTAGTTTTTTACTTGATTCTCTAGGATTCTCTAAGTATATCATCATGTCATCTGCAAAGAGTGATAGCTTTGTTTCTTCTTTGCCTATTCTAATACCTTCAATTTCTTTTTCTTCTCTTATTGCTAAAGCTAATGTTTCCAGTATGATATTGAATAACAGTGGTGATAATGGACATCCTTGTTTCACCCCCAATCTTACTGGAAATGCTTCTAGTTTGTCCCCATTACATATTATGCTTGCTAAAGATTTTAGATAAATGTTATTTATTACTTTAAGGAAGACTCCATTTATACCTATGCTTTCTAGTGTTTTTAGTAGGAATGGGTGTTGTATTTTGTCAAAAGCTTTTTCTGCATCTATTGAGATGATCATGTGGTTTCTGTTAGTTTTGTTGTTGATATGATCAATTATGCTGATAGTTTTCCTAATACTGAACCAGCCCTGCATTCCTGGTATAAATCCTACCTGGTCATAGTGTATTATTCTTGTGATAAGTTGCTGTAATCCACTTGCTAGTATTTTGTTTAAAATTTTTGCATCTATATTCATTAGCGAAATTGGTCTATAATTTTCTTTCTCTGCTCTGACTCTTCCCGGTTTAGGTATCGGTATTATATTTGTATCATAAAAAGAATTTGGTTAGACTCCTTCTTCACCTATTTTCCCAACTAGTCTATATAGTATTGGAATTGTTTTTTAAATGTTTGATAGAATTCACATATAGAGCCATCTGGCCCAGGAGATTTTTTCCTAGGGAGTTCATCAATGGCTTGTTCAATTTCTTTTTCTGAGATGGGGTTATTTAAGTATTTCACTTCCTCTTCCATTAATCTGGGCAGTTTATATTTTTGTAAATATGTATCCATTTCAGTAAGATTGTCAAATTTTTTGGCATATAGTTGGGCAAAATAATTCCTGATTATTATTTTAATGTCTTCTTCCTTGGTGGTAGCTTCACCCTTTTCATTCTTGATACTAGTAATTTGGTTTTCTTCTTTCTTTTTTTGAATTAAATTAACCAAAGGTTTATCTATTTTATTGGTTTTTTTTATAAAACCATCTGAGTTTTATTTATTAGTTCAATAGTTTTCTTAATTTCAATTTTATTAATTTTTCATTTAGTTTTCAATATTTCTAATTTGGTGTTTAATTGAGGATTTTTAATTTGTTCTTTTTCTAGTTTTTTTAGTTGTATGCCCAATTCATTGATCTCCTCTTTTTCTATTTTATTTATGTAAGCATTTAGAGATATAAAACTTCCCCTAAGAACTGCTTTTGCTGCATCCCATAAGTTTTGGTATGTTGTCTCATTATTGTCATTCTCTTGAATGAAATTATTGATTGTTTCTATGATTTGTTGTTTGACCCAATCATTTTTTAGGATTAGATTATTTAGTTTCCAATTACTTTTTAGTCTATCTTTTCATGGCCCTTTATTACATATAATTTTTACTGCATCATGATCTGAAAAGGATGCATTTAATATTTCTGCCTCTCTACATTGGATTGTGAGGTTTTTATGCCCCACCTAAGCTAATTTACTTATTCAGTGCCATACCAATCAAACTACCAAAAAATATTTTATAGAGCTAGAAAAAATAATAACAAGACTCATTTGGAATAACAAAAGGTCCAGAATATCGAGGGAACTAACAAAAAGGAATGCAGGGGAAGGTGGCCTAGCAATTCCAGATCTTTTTTTTTTAATTTATTTATTTTTAGTTTTCAATATTTACTTCCACAAAATTTTGAGTTCTACATTGTCACCCTATCTCCCCCCCCACCCCAAGATAGCATGCATTCTGAATAACCCTTCCCCCAGTCTGCCCTCCCTTCCATCTCTCCCTCCCTTCTCTTATCCCCTTCCCCTTCTACTTTCCTGTAGGGCAGGACAGATTTCTATACCCCATTTCCTACATTTCTTAGTTCCCAGCTGCATGTGAAAACACATTTTTTTATTAAACAGGTGTTTTTAAAACTTTGGGTTCCAAATTTTCTCCCTTCCTCCCTCCCCACCCACCCTCATTGAAAAGGCAAGCAACTCAATATAGGCTATAGTGTGCAGTTATGCAAACCACTTCCACAGTACTCATGTTGTGAAAAACTAACTCTATTTCCCTTGATCCTATCCCACCCCCCCGTTTATTCTATTCTTTCTTTTGATCCTGTCCCTCCTCAGAAGTGTTTGCTTCTGATTATCCCCTCCCCTAATCTACACTACTCTCTATCATTTCCCTGCTCTCTTGTCC